GAAGTAACATTGATATTGATAACGTATCTGATTTTGAAAGTTATCCTGATGTTAATGATATTTCTTTCTATGATGAGTTGAAAGGCTATGATAATATTAAAGATCCTGACAATGATAATATTTCTTTTTATGATAATAATTTTTCCATTCATGATGAGTCAATAGAAAATGATAATGCCATAAGTATTGTAAAAAAACTACAAGAAGTGACAAAAAAGTATCATTAGGAACATGCTTCTCAAAAAATACATAGATTACATTATATAGGAAACTCATGCTGTACTAAAAGAAGAAAGAATTAGCAATAGCATGAAGTAGCAAAAGGGACCCTTAAGTTACATATCTTTTAGAATATTAAGAAATCTACTGAAAAAATTGAAGAATTAGATGATAAGACTAATATAGATGTAGATGATAATGCTGATAAACAGTTAGTATTAGATGATAATGCTAATAAACAGTTAGATAATGAGGTTAATGGTTATAATTGGTATAATAAAATCCCAGATGTTCTCAAAAGTTTAATGTTAAATATTAAAAAAGAAAAACAAATAGTGAGGTTTAGGTGCGTTTAAATAGCATTCGTCTTTATTTTTAACTTGTGAAAAGTAACCATCTAAAAATGCAAGCGAGTGAGATTGTTGCTGATGCAGCAGGAAAAGGAATATACTATGCTAAATACATTCATTCTTAGGCACGTGAATATATAAAGAATCACAAAATTCCCTACTCCCGTCGAGGACATCATGCTAAGATATAGAGTTTTCTTTAGGATGAAGATATTCTCCTTCAAGTGAAGTCATTTGTTTGGGAGCATAAGTGAGAAATTACTTTACAAATGTTAATAATACAATGAATGAGAATATTTTATCAGAGCTCGAATTTGTACTGTCTCTAATTATTCATATAAATACCGCAAGAAACTATTTAAAGAGCTTAGTTATATATATGCAAAAGTAAAAAAGGAAATGTACATAGATGGGCATGAAAGAGAAGATGTGATAGCTTATTGGAAAATATTTTTAGAACGAATAAGTGAACTTGAGCTTAGAATGCCTATTTTTTTAGGAGACAACTTAGAAGAAGTAACCTGGTCAGATAATCCACTTATTCTTATTACGCATGATGAATGCATTTTCTCAGCTTATAATAGAAGTCAGAGTCTTTGGATCCCTAATAGAGAACAACCCTTATGAAAAAAGGTAACGGTCACTTGATTCATGTTAGTGACTTTTTGACTGATATTTGTGGTCGTCTTGCACTTTCTGATGAAATACAGGTATTAAATAATTTCTCAAAGAGGCCTGTATTATTATAAATCTAGGTAAAAACAATGATGGATGGTAGAAGGCTGAAGATTTGGTAAACCAAGTAGTCGAACGTGCTATTCCCATATTCGAAAAACGTTTTCCAGGATATTAGACTTTATTTGCATTTGATAATGCATCAAGCCATGCTGCTTTTTCACTAGATGTACTAATTGCCAAACATATGAATCTTAGCACTGATGAAAAGCAACTGAATATGTGCAGCACGTATTTTGGTAAGAGAGTTCAACAAGAAATGGTCCTTCTGTTAGATTATCATATTTCTAAATTGTGTGAACAGCCAAAAGGGTTAAAGCAAGTTCTAACAGAAAGGGAATTGTAATTAAATAGAGGATTGAAATTGGAAAAAGCACGAAAAATTATGAGTCAGCAGCTGGATTTTTTAGCACAAAAAAGACGATTAGAAGAGGTTATTATTGTAACTAGACATCAAATCATATTTTATCCTAAATTTCATTGTGAACTCAATTATATTGAGAACTTTTGGGATGCAGCTAAGAAATTTAGTCAGTCAAATTGTGATTACTCGTGGATGGGATTACAAAGAACTGTTCCATTAGCTCTTGCTTCTGTTTCACTTACAACTATTCGTCAGTATGAAATAAAGGCATTTCGCTATATGGATGTATACCAAAAAGGCTTAATGGGTCAGGCAGCAAAATTTGCGATTAAAAAGTATCGTTCATATCATTGGGTTCTTAATTCAGTTTTACAAACAGTTATTATTTAGGCAAAATACACTGGATTATTTAAACTGGCTATAGACAAAAAGAAAAGCAAAAAATTAGTAATATGTAAATTTTACGCATATCAATAATAGCAATTAAAATACTTATCTTTTAAAAACTTTCGTTTATTTTTTTAATAAAGATAGCAAGAGACGTTAAATATTTTTTTTAAAAGATTGTGACTTTTGATCAGTGTCATAGAAATGAAAATCAACCAATAAAAAGTAAGAAAATTGATTACGTGAGTCACGTGAGGAGCGGTCAAAATTTCCGATTTAATAGTAAAATGACCTCACTTTTAAATTGCTACTACTCCATTGAAAAACATAGTTTTGTTAGGCTTGAGTTACTCTATCATTTTATATTTTATATTTATCATGTTTTTTGAATGAGGAATAGCAATTTGAATTTTATCAAATTTATTGGTTGGGACTAAGTTGTATGCACTGTAAGTGTTATCAAAGTATGTAAAAGTATGTGAGTTGTAATTTACACGAGTATGTACTAACTATAATTATACAGCCATATATGATTATTATACTTTATCCATGAAGTAATTTTTCACGGATAGAGTTTATTTATACTTTGATCATGATATTACAATATAAGTTATTACTTATATTAAAATACATTAAAAAAAGTTTAATATGTTAATTATTTATTAATTATTATATATACCTAATTAAACTCTATTTACTATTAATATTAAATATAAAAGAACAATTATTAAATATATTTTCTTTAAAAATACGTTGGAAGTGAGAAATCAGTTGTCATTAATTGACTCTCAATTAGATTCTTTTGTGCAGAAAAGTTTTGCAATTCTAAATATATGAATGTTAGTTTCTTTATAAAATATATGTAACGATAAAATAAATAAATAAAGAACCTTGATTATATGCATTGAAGGTCAATTTCATTTTCAATTTTCTATTTAAATTTACATAATATCATTCTAATTGTATAATCCAATTCTTTTTTGATTTATCAATTGAAATACAATTAATAATTGCTTATATATCACTATCTCTAGGATCATTATATTTAAAATTAGCTAAATAATAAAATAATTTTTTATTATAAAAAAAGGTTTTAAAAGGTTTTTATTTTAATTATGGCATAATTAAAAAAATGCAGTTGTATTGAGATTAAATGATATAAAACGAGAAAGAAAAAGAATAATTTTAAATATTATTTTATAATAATCAGTGGGCCAAATAATTATATCGTAACTTCACGGATAAATCGCCGATAACTTCACAGTTACTATAGCAATGCATTGATTGGTGGATTTTGCCACTTCGTGGCAAAATATCCTATCAATGCATTGCTTACCGTGAACTGTGTAGTAATCTCTGATAACCTGTGAAATTACTATCAATAACTAGTTATCAAACTCTTTAAAAGTCTCAAATGTTATATAAGTAAAATAGATAGTTTCACCATCTTTTCTACATTCATTAACTACAGTCCCCGGCGAAAAGAATGGCAGTGCAATCTTTTACTATATAATTAACTTTTTTTTAAAGAATTTGTATAAACAATTACAAAGTATTTTATTTGTATTACTAGTCCAAATTCTATGTGTATTGTTTGAAGCCCGCAATGCATATTTTAAAATGAATAAAATTTTTGCGATCGTGAAATAAGGTCAAATTGAGTGTTTGATCTTTAAAATTAAGATTACAAAAAATTTTACTATGTTAACGAGCTTCACTCACTAATAAAAAAATGTTCAGCTAAATATTCTACAATAGAAATAATATATTCTAACTAAGAAAGTAGGAAATAGAAAGCATAAAGTTAGATTAATATGAAAAAAAAAGGCTAACTTTTTAATTTTTTAGTATTTTAACTTGTATTTAAATCCAGATTGACAGAGAAGGAGAATACATTTATATTTTAATTTTTTGAGTGTATAATTTCTTAATCAAATGCATTTGAGAGTAAAAAAAATTTTGAAAGTTATTTATTAAAAACTTTCTGCTATTCTTTTCGCCAGGGACTGTACATTTAATTGCTATGGTTCTGGTACCCATATAAACATCTGACTCACCTTAATAAATTAAAATTTACTTTGATACTGTAATAAATAGCCTACTAAATTTACCTGATTCCACAAAGAATATCTGTGTTGAAAATGCCTTTATTGGTATAAATGGTGTCAGAATATAATGCAAAAATTTCATAATGCTTATAAAAAAAGCTAAAGAAATAGAAAAATTTAGAAAATTCCTTTTATAAAATTTTGCGTGATATGAAAATGACAAAGCACATAATGTAATCTTTCAATTTTTATGAAAAAGGTACAGGAACAGAAAAGAATGCTAAAGAATCATTTTATTGTAAGGTACACAATACAATTTAGGTTTAAATGAAAGCATTTGTATGCTATATAAATTACATAGGATTCTTTTACAAAACTGGTGCATCGAAATTTAAGTAAAGCTTATTATTATTGGTATAAGAAAGCTGCTAAAAATAGAATAATATAATTTAGGAATCGGGAATCGACAAGGATGAAGTTAAACCAAAAGAATTGTATAATATTTTAGATGAGCAACATAACATGTTTATTAGAAATAACTAATTAATAGGTATGTAAGATATATATCTGTTCTTTATAATACTTAATTTTAAAACTAAAAACTTATTCGCTTAGACAATAACTTTTTAACCGAATTCAATTAAATAATCTAACTGTTCATATTAATAGTAATGATATGTCAAATATTTGGAATGATACATTTTACGAAGTTATTTCAGATTCCATTCAGTATATAATCAACCGTTTTTTCTGGAGTCACAGAAATTACATATTAATCGATATTAGTTCGCAGTCTGTTTATACTATAGGAATTGATTTCAAAAGATTCTACTGAGCCGTGTATGCCTGTAAATACTTTCTGGAGTATCTTGAAAATTATTTGAAGAGACAGTATGAAGTTTTTTTACCAAGCGATAGTGATACATAATAGTATTGTTTATAAAGATCGTAGTCATAATGATGATCTTAAATGGTAATTAATGGTGATAAAATTGTAATAATAATAATATCGGTAGTAATGATGTTGATGACGGTGATGATGGTGAGGGTAATAGCAATAGATAGTTAATATTGCTAATGTTGATTAAATTCTCGTATTTGGAAAGAATTTACATTATCTAATATTCTAACATTTGAGATTGAAGTACGTTTGCAAAACAGAATATATGCTCAATAGGACCAATTCGTTATTAATAAAATGATGCATGATTATGG